AAAAAAAAAAAAAAAAGAGAGATCCTCAGAAAAAAAAACACAAAAAATGTCCCCTTCCAAAGAGTGTAAAAATGCCAGTGAAGAAGAACCCAAGACATCACAAGCACTCAAAACCCAGGGTTACTCGTCCTACCTGTTATACACAGGAGAACACAGAGCACTTGTGCACACACAAACTGGTGCTTTAAAAATGGGAGGGTGAGAGAATGAAATCCATGAGAGAACAAGTGAGTGAAATCAATTCTGTTTAGCATGAGTATTGCCTTACAGCTCTGTGAAGCCTCCTATTAAGTCTCCTGCTATTTTCTTACAGAAACTTTGACTAATTTGAACGATTTTATTTTCAAACAAAATCTAAAGTTAAATCATTTATATCAGTTAATAATACATAAGGTCCAAAATCTTACTGAAATTATTTACCAGCAAATTCTCTTTCCGCCCATTCCCTTATTAGGAAATGATCAAGTAATCAGGCTTAGATCACAAATAAAAAAAATCTTTGAATCTAAATGCCAAGCAAACTTGGCCATTTGCAAAGCAAACTTACAGAAACAGTTTTCCAACAGTTTTCTAAACTGTTATTATAAAATTATACATCTCTTTTTAGTCCCTTTAGCATCCAATTACATTGGCAAGCTTCAGTCTTTTGAATTTAAATCAATCAAATACTTTCCTGAAATTCTAAGTGCTAATTCCTGGACATACTGAGGAGTTGATTTTATTAACATATATCAAATCAAGCCAAATGAACTACTGTGACTGCAGCACACTTTACAGCTGAGAAAAATCCATCTCCCAGAAAAAGAAAAAAATGGTCAGCATTAATTGTTGTTATCTCTGAGAAATCTACTTGCTCACAAGCTGATCCAATGTTAGTTACAGGGTGTATGAAGAACAGGAGGCAGAGCAAGAACTGAGCAAGGAATGAGCCTGAAACACATCAGAGACTGAAACGATGCTGGAAAGAGCAGGGAACGGACACGTACTCTGGGCTCTGCTGTGACAGGGAAAGAAATCTCTTAATGGTACCCAAACACCATGCAGAATTTACTGAGAAAAAAGAAGTTCCTGAGCGGATAGAAACCAATTCTAGAATGAAGGACCCAACTTTCACGGCCACAGCCAGCAAAAATGGATTTGTTTATAAATCCTTTTTATTTCCATTCTGTCTTACCAAGTTGCTTTCAGTTTTCTGATTTAAAGAGTTAATTATTACTGTTTATATTCTAATAAATGTTGGCCTTTGAATGTAAGAGCCCTTTGGGAAGCAACTGTAATGAAAAAGACCAGACATTCATACAACAGCTCTGATGGACTTAAGGTCTCCTCACAACCAGATAGATTGTGAGGAGCCTTCCCAGGGCTGCACCGGAGCTTCCAGGTAATTTTTGCTGCTGAACAAATCTAGTGCTACAGAAGTTTGCTTGGTAGAAGAAAGAATCCAAAGAGTTTTCTCCATCTGTGTTCCCCAAACTCCTTGCTTACGTTACTGATGCAGCCAAAATAGCCATTTATCTAAGTCAAATCTGTTACTATTGTTTCATTTTCTCCGTTCCCCCCAACAACAACAACAAATTAAAATAAATTTAATTCTAAATAAAACTTCTGTAGAACCAAATACAGCTTGAACTCAATAAATGAATAGATTTTCCACATGTTTTTCTGGGTCCTATTAAACTGGAAAGCTATGCATGTGTAAGCACTACCAGTCAGAATTTAGTTTATAAGAAATGGAACAAGACAAAAGGAATGAAAATTTGATCTTCTTTCTCAGGTACCACAAAGAAATTGCTAAATATTTAATGACTAAGTGGTAAATATCAACTATTTTCATCATTAAGAAAATCCCACTTACAGTACAAATTACTTCTCAAGTGTTTTGCATGTAAAGCATGAACTGAAATGCTTTGTCAATACGAATGAATCTCAGACAAGACTTACTTATTTGTAGTATATAAATGCTTTGTCAAATGCTTAGAATGAATCTAGGACAAGACTTACTTATTTGTAGTATATACATTGAACCATTTAGAATTATTCTAAGATTTTAAAAATTAATCATTTACTAAATTTAATTATAGGTTAATTTTAAAAATAAAAATTTAATTTATCATTGATGAACCCTACAAGAAAAAGGAAAGGTCTTCAAACTACGCATGTACTTACAATTTCTATATATTGGTTGGGTTTGAAGCAAATATTTTAGGGTTAAAAGTTACTTCTGTCATGGAAGTTAATTCTGAATGGACCTTTAAAAGTGTGTTTAACTTAAACTAGGAATAAAGCACTGCCATGCATACCTCATAATTTTAGGGTTATTGCTTGGCAATAAAAATAACTGCTGTAAGTTAACAGTTGTCCTGAGTATCTTAATGGTGTATTTTCATTCCTTAATAGATTTTGGTAAAAATGTTCCTGTAACTGTAGCGCCCAAAGAATATGGGGGAGCAAGGATTGCAGGAGAGACTGCATCTCTTATCAGACAAGCTTTCAGGCAGACAAGGCCTCTTTCAGGTTTGCTACTTCTGTTCTATAATTTAAAAAGGCCTTATCTGACAAAAATTTATCTTCTTTCCTCAGTTCTCAGTTGGTGATCTAACAAAAGATATCCATTGCTTCTAAACCTTGTGTCTTTTAAAGGTAATCTTAACTCATTAAGTTTATAATGCCTGTTGTTTCAAGACATGTAACTTTTTTTTCCTTATACTACTATATCTTTGCCTATTTCTAATGGAACTTGAGCACCAAAGTCCCACAGGCATTTCTGAAATTTTTAGGCTACCTTAAAACAGAATTTAAACCTGACAGGAAAAACTCAAAAGATAAAAATATACAAAACTTGTTACATAAAGGGAAATAGACTATTAATGCAAAAGCATTCTGTAATCTCGCTTATATTGAGACGAGGAAGAAATCACATCCACCATTTTTTCCTTAGAGAATCCCAGAGAAAATCTGTCATCAACATTCTCAAAAATGAGTGAGTCTTGGAACACCCTGGAGATGTGGGCTCTTAAATCATTAATGAGAAAGAAATCTTCTGAGGGGAGTCTCAACTGCACAGATTGGAATTCAATGCAAGGACTTACATCTTCCAATATGGACAGCACTATATTGTGGCATCACGTTATACTATAGTTCCTACTTACTCCACGTTCCTCATTTTTCTTCTATCTTCTATCTTTTCATTGTTTTCCCACTGCTCATTTGATCAGTTTTCTTAAAGGCAGTACTAGCCCTATGATGTTCTTGTTAGAAAAGAAAAACACATTGGAGATACAAACCATAGTGGAGAATGAACTAAGACATTAAGCATTCACACCTATATTTCTTTTCTACGGCATCCTATTCTGATATTTAAATAGACCTCATGCAGGTTGAGGCCAAAACTGTGTAAGCAGATGGTTTTGCATGTGCTGTAGAATCAATGCCGAGGACTATAAGAAAGATGCACTGAGAAGTTTCCAACTGATTGTTTCCTAGCAGAAGTGCCATTTTTTGCTTATTACTGATCATAAAAAAAAGGAAACCTATCCCAAAATAATTCTCATCTCCATATCATTCCACGTAGAAATCACAGCAGTTGAATTACTCGTGAAATTTGCTTATCTGCTTCCAAGCGTAAACTTTCAAAGACCTGAACACATTCTGTGGTCAGATTGAGCAAAGCTAAACTTACTCGCTCATAACTCAGAAAGAGTTCACTTGTTCATATATGCAAATACCATACAAAGCTCCTATGTTGTTCCAATATCTTTCTTTAGTTTTTAGGCCTCTCTGACTGGACTCAGCATGTTCTACAACTGAGCACCACAGGGCTTAAGAAACTTACTGCAATGGACCTCATCGCTCCAGTCATCGCAGTCGTTGTAGCCGTTGCACTGCAGCTTCCCCGGGATGCAGATGCCACTCGCGCACAGGAAGCTCTCCTCTCCTCCACACAGTGCTGGCAAAGAGGAGAAAAAAATAAACAAGCAAACATATGCTAGGCTGTTCAGAGAGAAAGTAAATAAAAGGAAACGAAAGATAATTTGTACAATGAGTCTTAATTGATAGATTTTTTGATCTGATTGTTGATTTAAGCAACAAACCCAAAATCAATCAAACTCAAGCACATTCCCACTGGCATTTTTAGCTAGCTTTGGTTATTTAACAATTAAGTGTCTAAGTTCAGTTTGTCAGTAAGGTTCAATATACCACTACGGTAAAGAGGAAGCACCTCTACAGGGCAACTCTTAAACACTGACCTTAGGATGTGATTAAACATGCTTTTTCTTTCCATTATATAGATATTTTGGATTAAATACCGAACTAAAGTAACAACAGATTAATTCTTGCAACCTATGTTTATAAGAAATGGAACACAGGAATGAACCTATGTGTTCAACCACAAGATCATAAGGTTGAGATTGAACAGTCATAATACAGACATTTCCTAACAGGGAAGTTTCCCCAAACATTCTTGTAACTCCCAAAACATTAAGAAAAGCTACATTATTGCTATTCTATATATGGGAAATAGAGAGAAAAAAAATAGGGCTTTGGAAGTCCCACTGGGGATGCCATGATAATCAGAGAGCGAGAACTCAAAATCATCTACAACCCAAGCACTTCGAGAGGGTTAAAATAGGGAGATACAGATCACTATTAAACTTGTTTTCATCTTAGCACAAGAAATAGAGGCCAAAATTCCAACCTCTGCTTTTAAAAACTTTTGGTTGAGACAATCCTTATGAAACATACAGATACCATTAGATAGCAACATAAAGCAAAGATGTCAAGAAAAAAATAGATGGGCTTGCAAGGCAAAGATAAAAATATTCTGTTCAATATTTTTTTAAAGCTACAAATAACAATAATGATAATTGGCAAAACTAAGCAAATGGAAAGTTTCACCTTCAGTAAAAAAATCAGTCCCCCAAAATTCCTTGATTTTAACCACACATATTTTAAATGAGAAATAGCTTTTAAGAAGGTAGGGAAAAAATGGCATTTTTTCAAAGTAAAAATTATTGAAAATAATAGCGTGTGACAACAGTAAATTCAAACAATGAAATCTCATGAAAGGTCACCATTCTCTCAATAAAAATTACTTTTGTAATTCAGGTTTGTATTTAACTGCCAAGAACAATAAAGACGGTAGCCTTCAATCTTACAATTTTACACGTGCCTAGAAGAATGAAAATATAAAAGTAAAACAAAATGGAAAGAAAAGTGAGGCTGATGAAATCTGGATACATGCTGATGAAATCTGGAAGCATGCAGATATGATTTCAGGATATAAAAGATGAAAGGAAAAAATGAATGAGGAAAATGAGCTAATAAATACCAACTCTCCATACTATTGCATCATTTGAAATCTTTTTTATGTGGTTGCTTCTGTTTCGCAAAAATTCTAGAATTCATTATTCATTGATGTTTATTTTTATCATAAAACAAAATTTAATGGAAATTTTTTCTTAAAATTTCATATATATGCCTCTAGTCTAGATTTTAAAGTGCTTTACAATGGAAGATAGCTAGTGTTATGCCCTTTGTAAAATAAAAAATACACGAAAAGCCAAAGCATAGGTGTTTGAAGTGATTTATCCACTGACAAACAAGGAAATTAGACGCACAATTCAAAGTGGTTTATAGAAGCCTCTTGCCGAAAATCTAAACCCAGCTCAAAAAAAAAAAATTAGATTATATCACTGCTCTGTCATAGTTTTCTTGCTTATTTGTTATCACTAAAGCATTCCTAGTGAGCCTGATTCTCCTTTGAAGTTCATGGAAGTGGTTCTTAAAATCAAATGTTTTTGTGTTGGGATAACAGGCAATTTCAAATGGCACGCATTTTTAAACATTGCTTAGGAGAAGACAGACTTTTAGATTCTTAGAAAAAACTCTTATGCATCCTTTCAAATGACATTGTGACCTAAACTATATTTTCAGGGAAGCACAATGTTACAGAGATCTGCAAATGCTTTTCGTCTCTTTCAGTTACATTTGATTTCTTTCCTTACTTTAAAAAGAAAACAAATAAATGAAATAAATTCTTAAAACTCTCTTTCCTTTGAATATATGGCATGGAGAAGATTTCTGTTCCCTGTACTATACCTTTAATGCTTTGTCCAGATCAGTTTTGCCACATGTCACAAGTGTGAGCTTCTCATACTTCCTTTGGGATCGGTTTTTATATCATCTCATTGGCAGGATATTTTCCCTGAAATTTAGCTCAAATAACTCCCTTTCTAAAATTAAACAGTTTGTCCTTGCTATAACTCACTCTCACTTCTCTCCATTTCCAGGAGTTGCAGTCAAAAGAAGTTGTTTATGACATCTTCCCCAATATCATTATCAATAAACTCATATAAATCAGCTTACTTAATTTTCTAATCTCCTCTGAAGTCTTATTTATTTTTGAAGCATCTAATGTTATGGCATTATTCGAGAAGCATTCTAACTACCTAAAAAAATCAACAACTACCATCTGCATTATACACTGAACAAGGAATTTAATCAAGTATACAGTCTGTCCATGTAAAAAAGATTTGAAAAGAGATAGTGAAAACAAAATAAAATTTCTGTGAAATTGTAACATAATAATTATACAACTTAAGTTCTACTCAAAAGTTCCTAAAGGTATTCAGTTTGTAGGAAGAGTGATAATTTTTGACAATAAGTTTTAAAACTCTTCACTTCCTTTCAATATTCAGTGTCAACAGGAGTGCAAGACCATCAGAACCAGCCCGATTCATTTTGGGAGCTAAATGATACTTTCTAACTCTTCCCCTTCTTGTCCTTCAACACAACATTTTAACTACAGAAACTTAGTTACTATTACCTACTGAAGGTCTTCAAAGCTCCATCAGACTCAAATGCAAGGCTCTAAGGCACTTGATAAAAACTGTGATTCAGTTGCAGTAACTTGTAGAAGTCTCTACTACTACATGTACAAAACCAGGTGATTCATTAAAAAAAAATTCAAATCCTTTTTTTATAATACTTACATCCATGTATAAAGCTTTTATACAAGTAGATTTCTAGAGTGTCAGAGAAAGGCATAAGGCATTTCTTATAATTTTGACTGTTATAATTTACTAATACTAGTAAAGGCTTTTTCCTAAAATCTTTTCTATCTTCCGGTTTATAAAACATCTTCTATTGTTTTGCCACTCAAGGGCAGACAGAAATTTCTTTAAAAAACTCATTATTTCCTCTAGTAAAATTGAACTTCATGGCATGCCTTTTTTAGTCCTACAAGCTTGACTTGATTTTTCATTAGTAAGAAAATTTAGCTCCTCAAAGAAAGACATGCTGATTTATAAGCCACTGTGAAAACCATATTAAGACGACCTATATCAACTCAAGATGTTCGTAAGGAAACAACCACTGTTTTATGGTTTTCAAAGATAAAGGCTCTCTATCCAGTTCTGTCACAAACTTTCATTACTTTGGACAACTCAGCTAACCTATGCCTCAGCTCTTTACCTACAAAAAAAAAGAGAAAATAGACTTCTCTGTTTTCTCAGGCTCTTTTATCTTTGGAAGTCATTAGGCTTGGTACTATAAAGTACTATAAAGTTAACACTGCAGTAAGCCTTAAGAACTTATCTTCACCCTGATAAATTGACATTCCGGGTCTCCCAGAGGGAGTTAAACATATTTTCAGTTAGGAAGATATCGCTCCCAGAGGAACATTACTCTGTGTAAGATGACCAAAAGGAAAAATTAAAAGATCATCATCAAATGGAAACAAGATTTTTTTTTTTTGAGATAGAACAAAACCATTTAACATTGCCAGCAATGAATGACACATTTTAGAAGATCTCAACAAGCAGTCTAAAATAGAATATTACACCTGTAAAACATGCCCTTGAAACTAAAGAAGGAGCCTTTAGTATGTCTACAAAAAATATCATTTCCAGTCATGGTCAGTCTTTCGACATAGCAATGTGATACTCCTTCTCCACAGCTTTGCAAGCCTCTATGTGCATGGTGGATGCTGAGATGCACCACTGAGCACCGGACATGCCTAAACACGCACAATGTGTTTCTCAAAGATGACAAATAGCTCCAGCTCACAAAGTCTGCAAGCGCAATTAATTATCCAGATTTTCAATTTTATTTCTGCTCCTAGCATAACTCTCCTTCCTATTACCATATGGCAACAGACATACATACAAACACACATGCTCTCACTCAGTGCCTCTACTTTTACTCTTAATTTTTCACAGAAGTGGATTTTTTTTTTCAACATAGATGCATGCTTTCCATACATCTATTACAATTGCTATTCCAATGCCTGGAATATTAATTTATTATCCCCAAGAAAAAGAGCAATTCTAGATTTAATCAACTGACACTCTTGTATGAAACATGTGCTTATAATAGAGAGTTACATAAATAATTTCAAAATCTTTTCTGTATCATTCCCAGGTGCACTCTTGACTTGGGCAGCACATGATCTAGATTTTCCAATAAAAACATTATTTCCTAATTGTGTAATGGGGGATGCTGCAGGTAACAATATACAGGCTTTTTTTTTTTTTCCTACAACCAGAAACTTCTAACTTGCACTTCTATGTAACTTCCTGCTTCTTAACAAAAGAAAACACAACTAGATCAAAAGAACCTTCTTGATGTTCACCTATCTGTGCAATCAGCCCAAGTCTTAAGTTGCAGACAGAACAACAGGAACAGACTTTAACCTTCTATGTGACAGGTCAATATGAACTGGGAGAAGAAAGGTAGAAGGTAAGATAGACATTTATCTGCCTGTTTTTCCTAGACAGAAGTAAAGAGTCAGGAGTCCCACACTCATTTTTGGACTGTGGACAAAAGAATGCTCAAGCACTTAAAGATCATTCCAAATGTCTCCCCTCCTAATACATCTCTACTCTACTCTGCTCCAAACCATTCTGATCCCGCTCTCAATTCACTTCTCCATTTCTTCTCTTACCT